ACACTAGCAAGGTAACACAACGCTTATCACAAGCAGATCTAATATCATCGGTGATCTTAATCAGTGCTGTAGTAGTACCATGCCCTTCACGAAAAGCAGACTGGAACTTGTTAATCAGATTAAACTCCTCAAAATATTTCTGAATCTGTAAATAAGCAATAGCTTTTGACAACGTAGATAGAATAGAAATGGGTCGAACTCCCCAACATGGGACGGAGATTTAATTTTTGGGATAGGAATAACATGGGTGATTTTCCAGATTGACGGAAATATAGACTGTTCAAGAGAACAATTGAAAATATGTGTTAGGGGAGTAATAACTATATCCAGAATGGGTAAGAGGAATCTGAGTCCAATACCATCTGCTCCGATACTAGTGGACTTGGAGTAGGTTAAAGCATCCCGGACCTCAGCATCTGCAACCAAGCTGAATGAAAAGGAAAGCACGTTGGTAGATGCAAGGATTATATTAATTGTATTCTGCGTAGTTGTGTTACTAACCACCACAGGAGGAGATCCGCAAAATACTCCGATAGAGCAGCAGCATCAAGAGTGGGTTGATCTGTGGGAGACTCTATAACACCAAGTGATCGCATTGTTTTCCAAAATGTCTTATGAGTGGATCCAGACAATCTCTGACAGTAGTGCAATCTTTTAACGTTTTTGCATCGATAATTACAACGGTTACCCAGCACACGATAATGTTCCCGATTAGTAGCAGAAGGGCTACGTTTGAACAATAACTTAGCACGATTGCACTCCCGCATGAGAGACCTAATCTCATCATTTAACCAAGGTGCATGTGTCTAACTCTCCGCCGCCTCTCCGGAGCATGCTTGACATAAAGGTCAAGCACCTTGGAATTAAAGTACTCCACCTTAGCATCTATGTCAGGCAATCAGTAAAGTGGCTGCCAAGCTTTAGGTACTGATTGAGTAGTATTCTTTTTAATATTGCCTGCTTGTCTGCAAAAAATACGTTATTTAAAAAATTCATACTTTCGTATGGTATTTGTATTTCCTCCAAAATAATTTAACAACTTTGTTAGAAGATGTGCCACTCAATATCTACAGAGAAAAAAATGTGGTTTCAACAAAATGGTTGCCCAGCTCATTATGCTTGTCCTGTACGTATTAAATACAGAATACCCAGAAAAATGGATTGGGCGTCTTAACTTAATTAAGAGACATGGAATTTTTTTCTTATTTTTACCAGAACCCATACCTGGGTTGGTCTCTCACCCGGTGTCCGCTTAACGTTGCGTTTCGGGACATCTGTATATAATTATTATTTAAAAAAGATTTAAAATGATTTTTTATTTTTTATATATTTATGATTACAAGTTTATGTTAATAACTAAAATTATTAAGTATATTTTTAACCAGCACAAGGAGTTCCTTTAATCGCTTCATTTACATTCAGCCTAAATATCCTGTAATTAATTTTTGATTGATCCAATTTTCCATAAAGAAATTCAGGCATTCTATCCGAAAGAATATACAAATAAGGTTCATCTCTAGCCAACTAAAAAAAAAACACATTTAACATTAAAATCTATTAAACGATTTCATTTACCTTTATATCATTAGTAAACACTAATCTTTCACCGTCTTCAGCTACCAAAGCAACATTTTCCGGTGCCAAAGCTTTTTTTGTATTCCAACAAGCAACACCGTCTTTTTGCAATTGTGTAAAGAATAAAACTTCTGAGTTTGGATCGAAATCGCTTGCTGAAGTTTGCGAATCATCTCCTTTATCACCGAGCACTTTAAAAGCGTAATAATTTCCAGGAGTTGTAGCTGCAGTTTTGTTCTTTAAAATGCTCGTACATACTCCAAATTCTTTCGTGCTAGCCAACGAATGGAAAAACGCCGTTCTATGTCCATTTTCTAATTTATTCGATAAGGCAATTCCAAAAACTCCATCAGTCCAATGGAAATTAACCCCACCCACAGTTAAATCACCTTGCAAAGGATCAAAGTGGAAAAAGTTATGTTCGACACGCCAAGAATCATCCGATGCTAATGAGTAAATTACAATTCCGTAACCACCTAAATCCGGAATATATGCGTAAGCATCGTTACAGTTATCTTTGTCAACATCTACAACCTAAAAAGAAATTAATAATTAACAAGTTATTTTTTTAAAGAAATTATTACTATGTTAGCGAAGAACGAAGAATCTTTAGCATCATCCTTTTTCAACTCATATCGTTTAATCAAAGTATCGGTTTTTAAATCAAAAATGACTATAGCGGGACTTGCGACGACGTTATAACTTCCTAAAATATCATCAACTCCGGTATCCATAACCCAAAGTCTGTCGCAAACGTCCGATTTAATTCGAAACGTCGAAATGATATGATCCGGCTTTAAATCCGTTTTATTCGAAGGAATTGTATTTGCCTCCCAACTTGGATACGGTATAAGAAAACTTGATTTATCAATCGGTTGTTTCAAAGAAATGTAATTTAACGATGATCCAACACCAGATTTCCATCTAAAAAAAAAAAAAAAAAAAAGTTACTACAATGACTAACGGAAATTAACGCCTATTTCATAATATCCAGAGAGTATCTTCACAGGAAAATTAGGATGAGGTGAAAAGAAGTGAAAGTTCGTTAGCACGTTTTATTTGGTGAGATTTTAATCCAAGTTGTGTTTGGCGATCGTTAAGATAATGATTGGGTTGATTACTTTATTGCAATTCATTTAATTGCTTTCTATAGATTTCTAGTCTTTTACCATTACATTTATTTTGTTGATAACGCTATTTGGTAGATATTTTTTGCAAAGATGTTCACCATGATGTGATGAATCCATTAAAAGATTTTCATTGTCAAAGGGATGTTTTTATCAATTTTTAACACGAATTAATTATGTTATACTTAGATCACATTAGACCTAGAATTAGAAAGCTATCAAGACCGCTAAATCCGAATTCTTCTAGTCCTGTCATCCTAGTGACCAAACCATATACGAAAGGTAGCTGTTTAGTGTTAGAGTTTAGGTGGTGTAACTGGTTCTAGGTTTTGTGTTAGCTTTAGTGATAGTGCTAGTGCAAAACTAGAACTAACACTAGATTTAGAACTAGAAAGTTTCGGCTAAACCCGTGCGTCTAGTTTTAGGTCAATAGCAATATACAACAACCTAGCGCTATCTAATACTAACTTGCTTAGCACTGTCACTACAACTATTATTATTATTATTGCTGCCGGGCTGAGGGGAGCGGCCTCTCTCGTTACCGCGACCTATAAGATAACATTAGCCCTCCAAAGGTATAGGGCAAATGTAGGTCCTTGATGAACTTTATGAGGTCTTGAACCTTTATGTCGGTGGAAAGAGATGTGGAAAAATCAGCGAATAACAGAGGTTGCGTCGAATGTAAGGTGGAAGAAAACACTTAAATTTACGGAGGGAGTAAACCCTCTTACAAATCGCCTGAACCTGCGGGCGCCAAGACAGTGCAGAGTCCATCATAACTCCAAGATTCTTAATTACATCCGAAAATTTAATGACGGTGTCACCAAGTAGAAGTTGCGAGTTAGCAAAAGTAGCCACCCTGCCCCGTAGAGGATTTGTACCAAATATTATGGCTTGGGTCTTATTAGCATTGAGCTTCAAACCGTATAGTTTAGACCACTCAAGCACTCTCGCAAGATCATTATTAATTCGCTCAATAGCTTGAGGACTGTTGTATCAGTATAGATCTGCAGGTCATCCGCGTAAAGATGAAAATTTGAAGAAATAACCTTGGTGACACTATCAATGAAGATAGAAAACAGCAACGGACCGAGAACACTGCCCTGGGGCACACCACAAGAAAGCTCAAAGCGGTTGGAAAAGGTTGAATTGGCACGGACACACAGTGTGCGATGCGAAAGATATGAATGAAACCATGAAAGACTCGAGGAAGAAAAACCAATAGATGAAAGAATAGAAAGAAGAAGATCGTAATCGACAGAGTCGAAGGCTTTGCTGAAATCAAGTAGAACCAAAATAGTGAGACGACGATTATCACAGGCAAGTCTTATATCATCCGTGATCTTGATCAAGGAAGTAGTAGTACTACGACCCCGTCGGAAACCAGACTGTTTCCGACGAATCGATGCTTCTCAAGAAAATCATAAACCTGGGTATACACAATACGCTCAAGAACCTTTGACAAAAGAGAAAGTATTGAAATAGGCCAAAACTTTAGTTTTCAATTTGGGAATGGGAACAACCTGAGCATATTTCCATATAGATGGAAAAGAGGATGATTCAAAAGAAAAGTTAAAAATATGATTCAGCGGAGGCAGAACAGCATCTAGTATTGGCAAGATCTGTTTTAGACAGATAAAGTCAGCACCAGAGCACGTAGAGCGGGTTTGAGTGAGAGCCTCACGAACAACCTCCGAGTCAACCATAGTCAATGAAAAGCTACGTGCATCATCCACGCTCCCATTCTCTGATGCACAAATGGTTTGAATTAAGGTAGCCTTCTGAGTAGCGTCAAGCGTTACCGGCGGTTCGGCAAAATAGCTGGCCAACAAGTTAGGATCCGGAGTGGATTGCGTGAGTTTGCTGTCAGTGACGCCAAGAGATCGCAAGGTCTTCCAAAATGTAGTTGGTGTCGACACAGATAATTTCCAATAAAAATATTTTTTTTTAGCATTTTTGCATTTGTGATTGCACCTATTACGCAAAGAACGATAGCAGTCGTAGTTATCAACTGACGGGTTACGTCTGTACAACGTTTTTGCTCTATTACGTTCGCTCATGAGACCCCTAATATCATTAGTTAACCAAGGGGCAGGAAAATGTTTCACTCTCCTTTGCTTTACCGGAGCATGTTTGTCATACAAACATGTTACTTTATTATTAAAATAGTTAACCTTCGCGTCAATGTCCGTCATAAGATATAACGGTTTCCAGTCTATCCTCAGCGCATCAGAGTTGAGTTGTTGATAGTCAACATGTTTGAAATCACGGTAAGATAGATTACGCTGAGGACAAACTACATTTCGGACTTGGACAGCGCAATAAATAAGATCATGGTTGGAGAATTGCAGAGCAGGTAGTTGACCGTGAACAAGAATCTTATCGGTGCAAGACGAGATGATCAAGTCAAGCAGAGAGTCGGACGAAGGAAGGTGATGGGTTGGTTGAGAAGGGATGATAGATAGATTTGAGGAAGAAGTGACAAATCGAAGTTTATCACTACGCAGGTCATCTCTCAATGTACACGTATTGAAATCGCCCATTAATACTATGGTGTCATAGCACATACTATGTCTTTCAAGGAGATCCTCAAATTGCTCAAAGTAATTCATCATTGGGGGACAATAAAAAACACCCAATAGTAGTTTAGCATTAACACACTTAACCTCAATCAAAAGGAATTCCATTGCTCGCGAAGATCCATCGGACAATTCAATCGAGTCAACCTGTAGTTGATCTTTGACATACGCAGCCACACCCCCACCCCTAGAATACACGCGATCATTTCTCAGAAGACGATAGCCCGGAAGAACAAACATAGGAGAATGTAGGGAAGGCTTGAGCCAGGTTTCACTCACTAAGATTATGTCAAAAATACCAGATTCAAATGTGATCAAAAAGTCATTAAAGTGGGCAGTTAGACTCTGGACATTGACATGACACAGAGTGATGCAGTTCGTAAGATTAGAGAAGAGGTTAGACGGGGGAATCCCTATTAATTTATGCGGTTCATCCTCAGCATTCCCACTGGAGTTTGAGAGGGTTAACCGAGGTAAATTCAAGAGCGAGCTTGTAGAAGAAGAAGACGATGAAGAAGAAGAGGACGAAAAAGGAGAAGAAGAATCAGATGAAGAAGAATAACTAGTATCCATGGAAGAATAAAGAGTGTAAGTTAACAATAAAGAAAAATTAGCTTCAAAGAAATAAAAATTTACCGCAGGCGGGGTCGCTTACAAAACACAGCAGAGACAATGAAGACCATAAATAGCCGGCGTGATTTACAGTATATAATAGAGTTATGATAAGTGGTAATAAAACAAAACAACCAGGTAAATAATTATTATCCCACCGTTCCCATGAAAACACATCGGTTGATTAATCAGACTTTACAGCCTGACTCCGTGTAGCAATCCTGCGAGGAGCCTGGGTATCTTGGTAATTCCGAAGGTCCGATTCATTCCGTATTACCTTCTTCTTTCCCTTGGATAAGGCAACATAAATGCGACCATCCGAAGTCCAAACATTCCGGACTCCAACAGCCTCCTTGGCTCGTTGATATAAACCAAGGCGGCGTACAGATAATGACTCCGAGATGAAAAACTTCTTATTCTTAAGCTGCCGTTTATTCCTCCAAATCAGCCGCCTCACATTATACGACATAAACTTTACGATTATAGGTCTGAATCTGGAAGAGGGATCTTTGGGGCCAAAGGACTGTTTCTTAACCATACCAAGCCGATGACTTCGGTCCAACATTTCAGCCTTGAATTTAAAATTGGTTATTTTGATGTTGTTGTTAAGGAACTCGATTACTAGTGCATCAGTGTCCTCATCAGCCACCTCCGGGACACCGTGGACAAGAAGCCCATTGTCTCTACACCAAGTATTGGTGACTACTACTCACCAGCTGCTTTCTGCATTAGTTGAGTTATGATTGTATCATATTTATCTCGGATTGTGAATCTTGAATCCGTTTTTAGTTAGGGTGTTCATCAAGTCATCAACTACCAGGCACCATAATAGAGGTGATAGCACTCCCCTTTGGGGATATCCTCTTAGCCCCTTTATAGTCAACGATTTTAACATACTAACACTAGACCTAGAATTAGAAACATTCGAGTTTAGCCGTTAAACCCGATTAAAGCTAGAACCAGATTTTCATTGTTAGGTGGTTTAGGAACTCTCTTTTCCATCCACATAACTAAACCATAACTTTGGTTTCCACAGACTTTTTCTAAATGCTATTTCGTCAAATATATTCGGNCAAGAAGGCAATTACGCCTGGAGTAGCATTCCAAGTCATCAACGCGTTCATCGAGGCTAGATAACATAGTCTTCACTTCAGTTAAACAGACCATCATATGTCGACGAAATTCCTGAAACTCCTCCCCCAATTTGTCGAGCGCGATCACAGGATGCCCGTCGGTATGTAGCGCGGTCTGAAGACGCGCGTCGAATGAATTCATTGTCTCCAAAAATTTCAACTCAAGAGCGCGCAAAGCACCCGGACCGGTTCCCTCCATTCCGAATAAGAGAGACAGCGAACGCCTCCAAGCACATCGGTAGAGAAAATCGACAAAAATAAAAATGAAATTACAAAAACTACGCGTAACACAGCCCTACAGACACTATCAAATGTAATTAAATTTAATCAACACTGTAGCAGGAATGAACTGACTTAAGAGAGGGAACACTTGAACACAAGTCACCACTAAAATTCACGATCATATCAGCACCGACAAGAGAAGGTCTACACATCTAGCGCCATTTTTGATATTTTTGAACTTTAATGTTATTCGAAATAAACTGACCGGCAAAAAAAACCGGCCACTATAAATTTGCCACAATTTCAAAGCTGGCTTTCTCGCGAACCGCGCATTCGATTTTGATGATTAATCCTTTTCTTGATGGAAAGGTTTATTCTTCTGTAATAATCCTGCGATAGAAATTTTCGTTCAGATTTTAATTTGAGCATATACGGGGTGAGAAAAATGAGAAAAACTTTTATTCTCAAAATTTGTAACACCCTGTGTGGTGCAGCTGCTACAGCAGAGGGTATTACCTGAAATCAAACAGTAGCCCAATCTTTTCTGAGCATTTTCTTTTTTTATTCACTCTATTATCTCTGTTACTAACGAAGATGCAGTATTTTAAAGCGATCGCCTGTGAAATCAAGATGAGTGACAATAGTAGCTGATGACCGTTTTATTGTTCTAAGCAATCGTAGAACGACAGCTGTAGAGGCTCGGCATCGTCTTCAAATGGTGCGTGTTGTTGATGTCAGTGAGAGAACCATTCGCTGAAAACTTGCTAGAACTGGTCTGGCTGCAAGAAGGCTGCCAAAGGGCCAAGGCTGCTTCCTAGATATCGATGTGCGCGCTTATATGTGAATTGGGAGATCGAGCAATGGAGGAGTGAGTAGTGCAATGGAGGTCCTTTTTACGGATGATAGCCAAAACAACGTCATGTAGTCGACGCGGCATTGAACTGATTAGGTTCGTAATTAATTCCTGAGGAATTGCGGTAAACTCTTCTTCAAGAGCAATTCGTAACTTCTGAAGGTTGTCCGGTAGGACAGGACGACGACGAATGCGTCTCTGAAGTTGGTCCCAAAGATGTTCGATAGGGTTAAGGTCCGGGCTGCACGCTGACCACTCCATCCGTTCAATACCCACCTCATCAAGATATTCGCTAACCACACGTGCTACGTGCGGTCGCGCATTGTCATGCATTAGCATGAATCCGTCACCAATAAAATGGAAATAGGGCACGACAGCTTCTTGCAGAATATCTTGGATATAACGGTGGGCATTTAACGTGCCATTTTCAACAAAGATGAACGCTGTGTGCGCTTCCGTCGAAATACCCGCCCATACCAAGACCGAACCTCCATGGAAAGGTACTTTTTCCGAACTCGTTCTCGACCATCAGGTGACCGGAGACAAAATCGGGACTCGTCAGTGAAGAGCACCTTACCCCATTGTTCCATTTCCCAATGAGTATGTAGGCGCCCAAATTGAAGACGTGCTCGCCGATGTCTCTGGAGCAGCCGCTGTCTTTTGGTAGGTTTAGATCACTTTCAGCAAGTTTTCGACGAATGGTTCTTTCACTTACGTCAACCCCACGCACCATTTAAAGACGATGCCGAGTTTCTACAGCAGTCGTTCTACGATTCCTCAGAGTGTTTAGCACAATAAATCGATCATCAACTGCTGTTGTTACTCGTCTACTACTGGAACTTTGCCGCCTAGTAAAATTTCCTGTTTCCACATATCGGTTCCAGGCATCCTGAACTGTTGTTCGGGGTATACCCAACGTATGGGCAATGTACCGCTGATTTTTGCCATCTCAGTTATTGACAACGGCATCTTTGACAACTGTCAATTTACTATTCGAAACAACTGACATACGCTACCTAGCGCGCCACCTTAGATTTTGTATGCTTGTTTGTCTTGTTTTCTCAAGCGTTTTAAAATTTTAGTGGCCGGTTTTTTTTGCCGGTCAGTTTATTAAAAACCTGTACTGAGGTTATTAACTTTAATGTTATTCGAAATATTTCGAATAATAAACAAATAAGTATTTCAAAACAAACAAGAACTTAACTAACTGAAATTAACTCGAACTTTAACGTAGAATGCAAAACAATCTTTATAATTCTAAAAATGAAGTACTTTCTTCATAATACTCAGCAACTGCAGATGTGGTGGAATCAGTGATGGGCGCTGGGTAAATACCCGGCGGGTAGATATTTATAAAATAGTTATTTATCCGGGTATTTACCCCAGCCCAGGGTAAATACCCAAACAGAGTACGTATAAAAGTGATACAAGTAAAAATATATCAAAATAAATGAATAAAAATGAAGAGGAAGGTGATGAAATGGGCGTTGAAGACGAGGAATTGCCAACGATCGAAAACGTATTATCATCAGACGAATCTGTCGTAATTTAGATTAGATCAAGTTATTATGATTATTATCATCAAGCTTTGCCACAATGATGACCACATCATTTACGCCAGTTCTTCTTCATAGGTCTTCATTTAGTATGTGGTCCCTCAGGGTTACACCCAGCATCGACCTCTCCATCTATCTTTGCGTCACTTTGAGCCTCCTGTCAAATCGCCATGTTTGATGGCGCATTGCAAACGTCATTGTAGTACAATTTTAACCACATATAGAACGTGCTGAAATTGTGAAATTTTATATCCATAAAAGTTCCTCTGTTACGCTTGCTCAACGCGTGTACAGAGCAAAATATCGCGGTCGTCTTTGGCAACATCGAAGCCCACAGTTAAGGCTATAGCTGCTGTAAGTGTTGATATTCAACAGCGTGACAATGGCGCGACAGTGACGGTCAACTGAACTCAAAGAAAATGGCATGGAGGACTACTGGTTCCAGAAAGATGGTGTAACATGCCATACTGCTCTATTAATTGGAACTATTGATGGCTCTATTGATTGATATCGAAAAGTGGCGATTATGACTGGTTGGTGCGTTCGCCTGATTTAACGTCTCCTGGCTTTTCCTGTGGGGATACCTTAAGAGCCAGGTTTATGTCAACAAGCCAGACACTCTCGAGCAACTTAAGGCCAACATACGCCAAGAAATCGCCGAAATTATTCAAAAAATATCGCTTACAACAAAATGACACCTTGTATATAGGAATATAGCTCTTGAAGATGTCTTTAAATTTCCCGTAGGCTGACCATGCGGGTGTGATCATTCTGTTTAGTTCGCTTGTTTAATTATCTCTCGATACACGAACCTCATGGTCAAGATATACATAGCTCAACCCTCTCAATCTCATTATCACCAATGTTGATGTTAGAGTTGGGAACAAGATTTGTCATAAATTTTGATTTCTCCACGTTGATATTTAGCCAGACTCTTGCGCACACTTCGTTTAAGTAGTTCAGCATTAGTTTCATCTCTCCAAGGCTATCCGAAATAAGAACTCTATCGTCCGCGTAGCGCAAATTACTTAGGCATTTACCATCAATGTTTATGCCTTTTTGAGACCAATCCAGTTGTTTAAATGCACTCTCTAGGACTGTGATGAACAATTTAGGTTCAACATTGTATCGCCTTGTTTTAATACTACTACTCTCTTCATTCTTGCAGATGTTATAAATGAGTTTGGTGTATCGATAATCGACTCTGCATTCTTGAAATGCTTGCGAAACTGCCACCAACTCAACTTAAATTAAATTTTATAAATATGTGTTGTTCGGTGCAACTGCAATGTTATCTGTGATAAACATTCATCCATATTAGGTACTGGGTTGATGAATTTGACGATGTATTGATGAAATGAGTGTAATACCTGTGAAGATCATTATGTTTGTCTTCAAAAATTGCAGTATTTGGAGTCAACTGGTTTGATAAACCTGTACTTAAAATTGTATTTATTAATGTTTCAGCATATATGGCTTGTGTATTTTTCATTTTATCTAATTTCTTTGCCACGTTTATACCAACTGCTTCATATTCGGTGGTTTCAGTGATGTTTTTCTCCAAAGCACGTTGGCAGGCTTCCAAAAATTGTGTGTTTGATGTTGTCTTTCTTTTTGGTTTAGTTGCAGTTGAACTATTTGACGACTGATTTGCTGTATTATTTTCAGTTTCCTAAAAACGAAGAAGAATGGTTAAAAACGTCGGAAGGTTATGAGAAAAAATGGAATTTTATAAATTGTGGAGGAGCCATCGATGGAACATGGAACATGGAACATCGATGGACATTCGCAATGTTCAGCCTCCCAGAACAGGAGCACAATATTTTAATTACAAAATTTTTTATAGTATTGTTCTGGCTATTGTAAACGCTAATTATGAATTTATATATATTGATGTGGGAAAAAATGGAAGGCTCTCTGATGGAGGTGTAATAGCTTACACAGAGTTCTATAGAAGATTGCAATCTGATTGTCTAAATTTACCTACACCGGCAAAAACGAAATATAACCTCAATTTTGTTTTTGTTGGAGACGAAGCATTTGCTTTGCATAAACATTTGCTAAAACCTTACCCTCAAAAAAATTTAAATTCAGAAAAACGCATTTATAACTACAGATTATCTAGAGCAAGAAATACATCTGAAAATGCTTTTGGACACATAAATAGCAGATTTGGAGTTTTAAACTCATGTATAAATATGTGTCCAGAAAAAGTTCAATATATCGTAATGGCAGTATGCGTTCTGCATAACTATTTAAGCAAAAAATCTGAAAATTATATAACCTCGTCAACATATGACGAAGACAACAGTACTATGACAGATATAGTACCAGGAGAATGGCGAAAAGAAAGAAATAATTTGGAAAATTTACAATCCTCAAATTCAAGAAATGTTGAATTTGAATATTTGCTGCTGGGTCAACAGAAACCTTGCAATAATCGATTAATTTCTGGTAGGCAGCGTTTTTTAAATTTCTATTTTTATATTCATTACATTTTACTTTCCATAAACAAGGATTATCTCTGTATATTTCTATAAATATTTCTAAGTTCTCTTTATTCCATGACATCTTTAACCCTACAGTGAATACGTTGGGTCTGACAGGCCTATGACTTATGTGTTTTGCTGTAACATTTAAATCACGTATTCTCTGTAGGGTTAAGTTTTGTGTTCCTTCAAAATGTAAATCTTGGCGCGTTCGAATCTAAACTTTTCTGTGAAGTAAACAAGCTAACCTGCGTTCCAACCACCTGAGCCGCGAACGCGCGATCGGCATGTTTACAAGGGCAGTTTTGGTACGCGCGCTATGGATTGTACGCTCCAAAACTGTCGAAAAAACTCTTGGTGTAAAAGACGCTATTGTCATGTAACACAAGCACAGTAGATCTATCAGCATCAAGAGCTATATATATCATCAGTTAAGTCAAAAAGCGCTGTGGCACAGTTATACTGACTCCTAAAACCAGATTGTTTCTCAGGTAGTATGTCATAATTTTCTCTAACACTTTAGACAAAACCGGAACGATGATAATAGGCCTCAAATCTTTAAACTGTTTAACTGGTTTCGTTTTAGGAACATGAGTCATCAGACCACATTTCCATGCCTTAGGATAAACCGACATTATCAGGCACAAGTTGAAAATACGACAGAGTACATTCAAAATACAAGGACAACACAATCTAACCATATCTAGAGAAATATCATCCGAGCCAACACTAGTAGACTTAAACAAAAGCAGATATCGGTCAATAGAATCCACGGATACTTCCTTGAAGGTAAAAGGAGTACAGTCAGGATTTAATTGATTATTATGATAGAAAGTCAATAAATCCGATTCAGGTGTAATAAAAACATGAGCTACAGATTTAAAGAAAAAGAAGATGACACTATCAGGGTCAGACAGGTGGGGAGGTAAATCAGTGATATTAGACCTAACAAAATTAAATATTCTCAAAGTCTTCCACATCAAACTAGAACCTTCCATCACACAGCTCGGTTCAATTTTTCACGACGAATAGCACCCATAATAAAATTAGGTAACTGTTTATAATACTGAAAATGTACGCCTTAGAGTTGACTATCGAAGAGCCATCATCTTCTTTATATTGGCAGTAATCCACGGCAAATAGTTCCTCTTTTGAGTCCTAATAACGAGGGGTGCTTGGACATCAAACAAGAAAATCATAACTTCGCTAAAATAATTGACCTTGTCATCAATATAAGAAAGGTCATACACCGCCTCGTAGTTTATAATATCTAAACCCTATTAAACTCGTCCATGACAATACCTCGTAAATTGCGAAATCTTACAAACTTAGATACAACCCCCACCCTTTGTAATGATAGCTCAGAAAAAATCAACAGATGGTCAGAGAAGCCAAGATCAATTGTTTCACAATTAACAACAAGCAGACTACTAGACAAAAAGATCAGATCAAGAAGGAATTCAGAAGTGCCCGAGATTCTTGTGGGTACCTCAACTAGTTCACGAAAGTCAAACATCTCAAATGTACCTCTAAGAGATACAGAAGATGGACTCTCAATCAAGAAGTTAACGAAAGAGGCAGTATTTCTATAACACTTTATCTTCATATATGGCCTCATTGTAAGCCTAGCCCGCAAGTGACTTCAGCTCTACAACTTTATAATCAGTAAAAAATATATCTTCCTTGCCTTATTATATAGTAGCTATTTGTGTAATAAGGTTGCGATGTTGTACCGATGTGACCGAGGCAGTATTCTATAATATTTTATCTCTACGGCGTCTCATTGTAGAGCCTCGCCCGCAAGCGACCTCGGCTATAAACTCTCATAACCAGAAAAAATTGGTTATGCCTTGGTATAAAAAATGCCTCCCAAATGTATGATGTTGCAAGTCTAAGCCCAGGTCGCTTGCGACCGAGGCAGTATTTTTATAACATTTTTTCTTAACCCAGATATGCCCATACAAGTTTGCTGGTTGTTTATGAGTAGATGGCCTGAGAGGTTAGTGTTTAAGCTATACAAAAACAAATTTTGTAAAGCAAATTAAAAATACAAAATTTAAGCCGTACTATATATAGTACGGTGGGCATTTAAGGAGTAACAAATCTAATTGTTAGTTTGTGTATGATATGAAAGGAAACACTTCACGTGTAGACCCTTTTCACACTTCAAACATCTACTGGTGGTCTTCTGATGACAATGAACGCATCTAGTTTGCTTATCTTGTGGTATGACGTAGTGATCCCTTCGTAGTAGTTACCTTCATTACGTGACGTATGTCCTCTTGAAGTCATTTGTTTTTTTATTCTGCAATAGCAGTGTGGTGGCAATTCTTCTAAATTTTAACTGATCTAATGCTCCACCACTTCTCCTATGTAGTTGTCAGGCGTTGTGGACTGACATGTCAATACAATGTGCTATAAGAGGAAAATACAATTTTTTCCCTATACGATAAAGGCTCAAATTTTGATCACATCTGTCGCCACCTCCCATATTGGCGTTGTATAAATTGACTAAATGTGGCTGAGTTATCTGAATAATTTTCTTTTCTTTTCGAAAAGATCTTTTCGCAGAATGAATTGGATTCACCCCTGCTGAATTTAAACATAAAGTGACAATACTATTGTCATGCCATTTTACAACAATTATATTTTGGACATCAACATTTTTATAATCGTAGCATCCCCTGAGCTCTTTCTTCACTTTTTTAGAATATATCAGAGGACTAGCTGGTATACGGTTTTCACGAATGGTGCCTGAGCCTCTCAAATTTTTATTGGATAGAAGCTCCAATAGCGGCAAGGTGGAAAAGAAGTTGTCAGAAAAAAGTGTATTGGTTCATTAGGCCATTTTATTCTAACACAACAGCAGGCCCTGCACCGTACGCACTATACTTAGTGCTGATATTTGTTAATGCGCCTTGGTACGGCTCGAACGAGTTGACATAGCCCAGTCGTGTTGCCCCTACCCACAGTTTATATCCAAGAGAAAACTCTGTTAAAAGTTGTTAAAAATTACTTACTTAAGGAAGCGTATTATAGTATTGATGAATTTACGAAAAACCCGCCCGGGACGGTGCGGTTGACGGACTCGTCCACTTAGTTATCTCTTTTTGTTATTTTTTTTAATCTTTTTTTCCGATTTTATGAATTGACGCCAAAATTATCATTTATTTAGTCTATGTGAATTATTTATTTATTTATTCTATGTGTATTATTATGTGTATCACGATTATCATTGATGCTACGAACTGTATTTCTCTTTTGACGAATGTAAACCAATCGATGACATACAATAAATATTATTATTATTATCACTTGCGACCGAGGCAGTATATCTTTAACACATTATTTTTATGACGCCTTATTGTAGAGCCTCGCCCGCAAGCGACCTTAGCTACAAATCTTCGTATTAAGCAAAGATTTATGTTCCCTGGTTCAATATTGGTTGCATAACAAAGTCGCGATGCCGTATCATCAAGCCGAGGTCGCTTGCGACCGAGGCAGTATATCTTTAACACTTTATTTTTATGGGATCTCATTATAGAGCCTCGCCCGCAAGTGACTTTGGCTATAAATCCTCATATTAAGCAAAGATTTATCCTCTCTGATTCAATACAAAATGATTAGTCATATAACAAGGTTGCGTTGTTGTATCTTCGAGACGAGGTCGCTTGCGGCCGAGGCAATATTTCTATAATGAGTTTTCTTCATCGAGCTTTATTTTAGAGCCTCGTCGGCAAAGCGACTTCGGCTATAAACCTTCATAAAAAGCAAAAATTTATCTTTCCTGCTTTAGTACCAATTAATTATTATTTAGTTGTTTGTTTGACATGGTTGCGATGTCGTATCTTCAAGCCGAGGTCGCTTACGACCGAAGCAATATTTTTATAACACTTTATTTTTACGCGACCTCATTGTAAAGCCTCGCCCGCAAGCGACCTTGGCTATAAATCCTCATATTAAGCAAAGATTTATGTTCTCTGGTTCAATATTGGTTGTATAACAAAGTCGCGATGTTGTATCTGCAAGCCGAGGTCGTTTGCGACCGAGGCAATATTTCTATAACACTTTATTTTTATGGGACCCCATTGTAGAGCCTCGCCCGCAAGCGACCTTGGCTATAAATCTTCATATTAAGCAAAGATTTATCTTTTCTGATTCAATATAAATTGATTGGTTGTATAACAAAGTTGCGATGTCGTATATTTAAGCCGAGGTCGCTTGCGACCGGGGCAGTATATCTTTAAGACGTTATTTTTATGGGACCTCATTGTAGAGCCTCGTCCGCAAGCGACCTTGGCTATAGATCTTCATATTAAGCAGAGATTTATCTTTCCTGATTCAATATAAAATGATTGGTTGTATAAAAAAGTTGCGATGTCGTATATTTAGTCGCTTGCGAACGAGGCAGTATTTCTTTAACACTTTATTTTTAAGAGGCTTTATTGTAGAGCCTCGCCCGCAATCCTCACATTAAGCAAAGATTTATCCTCTCTGATTCAATACAACATGATTAATTATATAACAAGGTTGCGATGTTATATCTTCAAGCCAAGGTCATACATAGGCGCATGAGGCGATATTTCTATAACACTTTATTTTTATGGAGTCTCATTGTAGAGCCTCGCCCGCAAGCGACCTTGGCTATAAATCTACCTATTAAGCAAAGATTTATCTCCCCTAATTCAAGATAAAATTTAAATTGTTTCCAGCTAATTAGTCACTTGGACAAAATTGTTAAACATAAGAAATGAAATTAAACTTAAACGTTTTGTTCTTAACAACTAAAACGTTTGTCAATTTTATTCCTAGAAAACCTTAACGATTAGAAATTCAATAACTATATAAAAAAACCTACACATTAATTTTATCAAAATTCCGTATAAATTCGTGCCACACCATTTCACGATTCTATTCTAATTTTAAAATCAAACAACACATTTAAACGGCAAAATTACTAAAAATAACATTGCAAAAAAATTGTTAATCATTCCATTCCACATCAACACAAGATTATATTTACAGTCTGTATACGATGATTGCGGCAAAAGCGAGCCGATTGATTAACTCCGAAAAAACGTG